TCCAGGTTAGGCGGCTAGACTCCTATCTATAGGAACTGTTGTCTGCAAGAAGGAGATGCTCTACTCCATGTTATGTAGTGTGCACAGAACGTAGTTACACTTTCAGTTGGCTGTTACTCTAGTGCATTCTTCAGTAATTCCTTATTTATAATATCTGAGATTTGAAACCTTTCCAATAATGATTCTGATAATTATAGCCATCTCTTTCAGTATTAACAGTCCAGTGATTGTATGCTAATTCAGGATCAATGGGAAGTTAAAAGAATATATTTATTAAACTCAATAGGGATAAGTTACTAGTTAATGATGTGAAAATTGTCACCAATAACTGTGTAATTACATTCTTATTAATGCATTCAAACATCTTGCCATTTAATTGGCATTTAACAAGCTCATTATAGCAAGATAATTAGATAGCCATTAATTGGTAAAACACTGATTGACATGTAGTATGTTAATAGATGTCTAGTGTGGCATAGCTGTCTTGCTATATGGCAATTTAATGCTTTCATGCTCCTATCAATTAGATTATTTAAAATATACAAATGTAATGTATTAAAAAGAGATTGTATATTTATTGGCAAAGTCATCATGACTGCACTGGAGTCAATGTATTATTTGCATATGTGTTTATCTCACATCTCAATACAACCTCTGCTGGTATTGGTAGGAACTACAATAAAGTTATTAAATTCCTGGGGCCTCCTTGAGTCACTGCATAGTGTTACATAGCGGTGACCAAGGTGTGGTTCATGGCCAAAGTGTGGTTTGTGTCCAACATATGTCCCTTGAACCACTTGAGTGTGGTCCCTGACCGAAAGAAAGTCCCTGTTGGCTAATTCTGAACATTGGTAGAAATAAAGCTGTACAAACCAATGAGGATGGCATCAACATGTCCAAGGTTGCCCAACCTACAGCTGGGTGCTGTTATCCTCAGGGAACTGTTGTCACATCCCACCTGCGGGCTGCTGCCAGGGCATGGCTCTGTCTGTGATGTTGGTCATACAAAGATCTGGGATGTAGCTTGTAGGATAAAGTTGATGCTCCTCTTCTAAAGAGCTGAAGTGACTGAGAACTTTGTGATATGTGAAAGGACAAATCTAAACTTTCTCATTCTGAAATCCTCACTATATTTTGCTAGGAAGGAGGCTTGAAGAATGATCTGGGGCAGTAATCCTGTCAATGGCTGCTAAGCAATGTACAAACGCTGACTAACCCATTACCTTAGTCATCCTTCCATATGTTAGTACTGTGACAGTTCAGTTTTTTGTGATGCTCAGAGGATGATGAATTATGCGCAGTCCACTTTGTTAGAGCTTGTTCACATATGTAGAAGGTGTACTTTTTCCCTAAGACAGTTATCAGATGCACTGAACTGGGATGGATAGTTTAAGGATGTAATATGGTTATTACGTGCATTACAGTAACAGTTAAAAGTCCAGCAAAAATTCAGTTTCTCTTTGAGTTTGGAACTGTGTAAACAGAGTGAGAGATCTTCTTTAGAAGACATTGCAATCAAAATGGACTGGACAGCCAAAGGCTAGTGGTGGAAAGTCGATGTCAGGAGAGAGGGCAGAAAGTAATACTGCAATCTATGCTAACACAGAGACAAAGAACTTAAAATAGTATGCTCTGCAGCTCTGAGGTCTGGAGTTATTTGGGTCTGCAGTGAGGAACTTCCTGGGCTGACTTCTCTGTTCCTGGGGTAAGAGATGAGTTCATTGTGCAGAACAGGAGATCTCGAGTAACCATAGAGTTGTACCAGAAATAATGAATTAACTTATAGTACGTTTCCCCAGCTACCATGGGATTGTTCCCAGAGGTGTATTAAGTGGAAATGATAATGTGAGCCTGATTTCGATGATGATGTGAATATTGTTAATGCTGATATCCCCAAATTAGCTCAGAGGGGGAAGTTTCAGTTCAAATTTTGCAAATGGTATATGACTACTACAACCTTTAGGAGAATTCTTTTAATTCTTTTTCCATTATTTTTAATTTTGTAGTCTAGGAAAATAACAGGAATGAGTGGTTCACTAAAAATATCCATTATGTGACCATGGAAATATGAGTTTTCCTTGAGAAGACAGTCAGCACTGCAGGGTATACAATGCTGTGCTATATTTTGCTCAGCTGTGGCATCATTCATGTGAATGTAGGTAGTTCAAAAAGGCTCAGAAAACTTGAGGAGCTTTTATTATGGGAAAGTTTTAGCAGAGCGTTGGGGAGAATGTTTAGTTTCTTTCAGCCATTACAGTAAGAAAAGAGATTTAAAGCACTGAGAACCAAGGAGGACAGATTGCTCTGGAAAAACATAGGCATGGCTGAGCTACAACTGAGCTGAGGCAGGTGGCATGAAGCAGTGGGGTTAGAAGAGCAGCTGCAGCACGCAGGGATGGGATGTTTCTGGGTAGTTGAAGATTTATGTTTTCTGGGAGATCTTTGGGGTTATGAGCGGGATGGATGGTGACTGTGGGTCAGACCAGAGATCTATGCATAAATTGTGAATGGCAGTGCAGAGGCAGTGGGCTGATCTGGGGATGAATGTCCTGTGGGACTGTCTCCAGCAGCTGTAAATCTGTGTCATCACCAATACACAGAGTATTTATCAAAAGGTAAACATGGTCTATGGCAAAAAAAAAAGGCATCTCTATAAGTACAGGTCAAGTAGGCTCACAGGGCAGATTTCCTATGGCCCAGGTGACTTAGGGAAGTGCCTGTGAATGTAGTGGAACACAGTGATGAACAGAACAGATTGCTTACCTCCAGGCACAGTAATTCTTGTGTTTTCTCCATCAGTCCTTTTTATTTTGAATTAGCAACCATGAGCAGGTAGGCAGCTCTAGAATTCATTTGTTTATAAGCCCTGATGCCCATCTGGGATCAGGACAAAAATCAAATTAAGCTTGTTTGTGTGTTAAATGTTTGAGGAAAAAATTACTTGTTGTAATAAGGGGCAAGGACTGCAGTGGGTTCCCCAGAGCAGACAGCTCTCATGCATGTGGGACCTGAATGTGTTGAGATCCCACCAGACCCTTCCCCTCACCACACTGCCTACCCTCCCTTCTGACTCACCCTTTACCTCCCACCAGAAGAAAAAGATGGATAAAAGGAAAAAAAAAGTACTCCTAGCAAAATGCCAGGGTTTTAAATTAAATTTAAAACAGTTTAATTGCCTAATTGCTCAGCTATTTTGTGCAGTTTATTAACAGAAGCAATTCTTCGGCAGTCATGCCAACATAGCAGAAAATTGGCATTTGAGCCAGCGGGAATTAAAGAGGCAGAGTGCGGAACTAAAACAAAAAGAATGCCTCGAACCTAGTGGAACAGACATTTGAGGCTTTCATCTCATTTTTATCTCGCTCCCTAATCTGCTGTAGAAAGATCAAGGCTTGGTTTTGCTTTTTAATGTGGGAATGACAGTTGCTCATCACCAATGTCTTTGCATTCAAAGAAGTACTGGGTTTCCAGAGAAAGGAATGTCTAAGGAGGCAGCACGTATACAAAGAAAAAATGAAATCCAATTTTTGCCAATAATATTGGCATCTTCTAAAAGAGTTAATTTGATGGAATTTTTCATAATAAACCTCACTGTTAAATGTCTGTGTATTCAAACAAAACTAGCAAATCATGCGTATAAATGAATGCATGCACTGACTGAATAGAAGAGATTAATATTCAGTTATAATATACAGCAACTCATCATATGTTCTTTCTTTACCATACAGAGAGGAAAAGAAGGAGAGGCAAGGAAAGGAGGAGGCACTCATAATGAAAAATAAATAATCCAATATTTATTGCCTGTAAAAAAAAAAAAATCTCATCAACTACGAATAATGCCATTGCTCAACTCCTTAGAGCTGCATCTAGGTATGATCTGTGAGGCTGTCAGTGTGTACTTGCTGCTGTTTCCTCTCTTTCTGGGTAGGCAGCCACTGGGGCTTCTGTGTAAGTTCATTTCTTTTGTATGAAAGAATGACAGAATTGTTTGAGTTGGAAGGGGCTGTAAAAGGTCATCTAGTCCAAGTCCCACTTGCTTTGTGAAGGATTTCTATGCTCTAATGAACCTACTGTGTCATCCTTTACCCTCTATTAAACCGAGAATCCCATGCACAGTAATATCTAGTACAGTTTTGGTATTGGTGAGGATCAGGTCATGAACCACGAAGCAGCCCTGTTGACCACAGTGTGGTTAAACTGCATCTGCAATGGCAGGAGTGATGTGCACAGGCTAAAGTTCCAGTTGGTGTGTGGCACACTGAGAGATGATTAAGAGATGATCCACTTTATCTAGGATCCTCAATCCTTGTTTCTACTTTGATTTCACTTTCTTATCTGTATGTAAGAAGGAAAGGATGCAGCTGCAAACACTGTGCATGAAGCCTGTTTCAGAAGAGCAGGTATTATTCTTTAATGGAGTCAGAGACATCTAACTTCTCCCTGCTCAAATTTCTGCAAACAACCCCACCTCAGTTTTAGTTCAGCCAAAATAACTTTGATGTATTTTGACATATGACATTTTTATGTATTTTTCTATCTGGAAAACTGACATTTCTCATGAGAAGCATATATTTCCTGTGAATAGAATGATCTAGGTGCTAAATATTTGTTGCAGAAAGACAGTTTCAGTGGAAGATGCTCACATTGGTTCTATTCTTCCATCATGTGGGAATGGGGAAATTTTCTTCCTCTTCTGGGTAGCATTCATTATTCCATCTCATTCACAGTCTGCTTGTTTTAGCTCTTGGTTGCATATGTACAGGGAAGAAATGTAGCTCATGACCAAATTTCTATAATATCATGCCAGAAATTTGGGAACCATCAAGAGCAGTGGCCCTGGAAACACTGAAAGCAGGTGGTTGAGGTTTCAAGCTAGACAAGGAGGGGGAAGCTTCTGATTTTATCAACCACTAGCTGCAGGTATGAAGGGTTGAGATGAAGAACTCATTTCCTCACGCAATAGACAATTGTAATATTTTGGCTTTTTGCCTCTTGTCTAGAAAAATGGCAAAGTGAGCTTTCAACAGGTCACTGTGTAGCAGCATTGGCCATGCTAGGAAGTGTAGAGAGGCATCCTAAGACCTAAAAGCAAAGATATCTGTGGCATGTAGTAGAAACAGCAGCCCATGGCTCTCTGGAGTATCCAGAGCTTGTACTGTGAGAGATGGACCATGGATGCTCAGCATACTCAGGAATTGCCTCAGTAGCACCTGAAAGAGAACCTTGATGCATGTGAGAAGGAGTTTACAATGCTGTGAGCTGAGACCTCCCTTTAACTCTCTTAAGGTGTGATGCAGGTATTGAGCATGGCATAGCCCTCCATTGACCTGCACTTCTGTGATTTATACCAATGGGAGAGCAAGTCTCAAACATAGCAACAGTCTGGTTGGCGCTCTGGGATGTTCCTATCTAATCTAGATCTCATGCACTCTGCAAGAAGCCCCAAAGGAGTCTGATTCATGTTAAATTTCTGCCAATCTTTTTTGAAGTCGACATTTTCTAGTCCTGGAGGTGGTGGCTGCTGGAGGAATCAGTCTTCTCGCAGCCCCAGAGATTTCCAGCTGAACCAATGCCATTTGCTTGCTGTTCTGCAGTCACTTTGCCATGCGTGTGCCCTAATTTTCCGTCCTCTAGGTCTGGCACCACTAATCTGCCTGCAAATGGCCCAGAGCACAAAGACCACCTCCTTTCTGTGCTCCTGCCTGCTCTCCTGTTGGAAGAAAATGTGTGGAAGAAGTTCTTCTGTGCCTCATTCCCCAGAGAAATAACCTGAAAGAAGGACTGCCCCTCAGATCTATTCAGGCCCTGTGCTAAAGCTCAGGATAGGGATCACTGATGTAAATTTCAATGGAAAAATATGATTTATTGACTCAACAGCAATTATAAAGAGACTTTATTTATTCATCCATCCATTTATTTATTCTACAACTTTGTCAGCATCTGCAAACTTTTTCACTTGACCTGTCTTTGGTCTTCTGACCTGAAAACCACTGTGCTACCCTGAAAAATATCACTGGCCTTCCTTAACTGGTTGCCAGTGTAACCATGTCTAACAGGCATGCATCTGGGAGAAGCTGCAGCAAGATGTGTGGTGCCTGGTAAGACCCTGGGAGAAAACAGTGACTGCTGAGTGACCTTTCATGGTATGGGAGAGGAGCAGCAAAAGGGGAGCAGTTAGGTGCAGAATTAGGACCTCACTTTGCTGCTTGTGTTGGAGATAAATTTGTTCCATTGTGGTGTTATGTGCCAATGAGCAGTGTCATCAGAGCCCTCAAGAGTCTGGAAAATGCTGAATGGAGAATGGAGCTGGAGGTCTTTTCAATCCAGAGTGTTGTCTCGGTCTGCCCAGAGGGCACTGTCTTAAATGGCTGGGAAAAAACACAATTCCAGGATGGTCCTCACCACCCATGAAAAAGGAACAGGTGGGAAATATTGGATTTAGATGCTCATGCAAGTAGAGGTACAAAGAAGTGAGGCATAACCTCTATAGCAAATCTGTCTGAACTTCTTCTAAGGATAAAAGAAGAATAAATGAAGAGGCAAAGATGAAAGTGGTGCTATTTAGATGTGGACTGGAACTGTGAAAAATGTTTGTCCCTGAGGCAAATCCAGGACTAAGCTCTCATTCAGGGTTTGATGGTAATTCCCACCAGCAGGTCTGTGTAGGTACCCACCAGCTTGGAAGATGCACAATCTGGTTCAGAACAGCCAAGTCTTTTACATGCATTTTCCAAGTAAAGGATTAATACTTTTCAGGAAAAAGATGGATCCAAGGTTACAATCCCACCACCCACAGCTGTGTTAATGTAGCTTATAGATCAGAGGGAGGTTGTGGTCAGACCACATCTTTTTTTTCCAATGTAACTTTTGGATGCAGAACTGGAAAACTTAGTGCCTGTAAACTTCTCTGATCACTGAAATTAACTGGAAAAATCAGACATAAATGCATGGTGAAACCCCTATCATCCAAAACCACTGAAACTTTAAGTTGTCCTTGTCTCCTGTGAGGAAATCTCAGTTTTGAGACAATTTCCTAGATTTTAGCATTTGTTTCCCTTGTTTTTTAAATAAAAATCAAATATAGTTAATATGACAGCCTAGTGACTAAACATATTTAGTTCCTATTGAAAAGGAAATGGGTTATGGCTCTGCATGCAGGCAATGTATCATTTCTTCAAAAAAAAAAAAAAAACCACAGCAAATCTAACTGCAACAAATGATTATTTCTTTTAACAGAAATATTTTCTTTGGCTAATCCACTTCTTCAGCCTGCACTGCCCAAATTGTTTTTCTGAGAGGACTAGTATATGATACAGATCAGATAGGATGCTTTATTTTGCACCAAGTAATTGAATTAATTGGTACAGCCAATGATCAATGTTAATTAAAAAAAAAAACTACAAAGGCTTTGCATTCCAAAGCTTTCCAAGAGAATATTTGAGTTGTGAAGCCATTTTAATCATCTAGTTTAACCCTTCCATCTGCAGTTCTGTCAGGGAAAAAAAAAAATCTTTTCCTACACTTGCATGCACTAAATAGCCCTATTAATTTTAACTGGTACTATCATGGGACTAAGGAAAGAAAAGAAGTGCAGTTCACTAGCATTTCTCCTCAGCTGAAATGACAGAGAATGGATCATGACAGAAATGCTCATTATAACCTAATGGACATTTTCATGTGATGCTACAAAGACACATTGAATTGAGAGGCCTTCTAGAAGAACACAAGGGATGAGTCCTTCCTCTTGTCAGACCTTCTGGCCTACCTTCCCTTGTGCCATGCATTTATCACATTATTAGGGCTTTCTGTGATGTTCTGTTGCACAGAAGCTAACTTATGGGACAAGAATCCCAAATGTGTATTCTGGACAGAACAGATTTCCTCCATAACTCTGAAGTTATCAATTTGGCAAATTGGCAATTAAGTGTGCTACTGTTTTGATAGCCTCAAGAAAGATACGGTGCTTGTCCTGAGAAACTTGGAAACATCATGGTTTGAACAGCTGTTTAACATGGGCACTTTTGAATTGCTCACTTCCTCCTGCTACAATAACCTTTCTTGCTAGCATAATCTATTGACTATAACATTGTCGGAAGTGAGCACATTCAGTGGGAAGCCAGGGATGCATCCATCTTCTGTCAGTAGGAGCTGCTGTAGCATTGTGCATGTCCCTGCAGACACTTGGATTAATGGTTTGACCTGATTCCAAACACAAGAAAGTGTTTGTGGCAGAGGCTTCGTCACAAAAGACTGCCAAACTATTCTGCCAGACAGCAATAAACTCAATTTACATTATAACTTAACACTTCCTTACCCCTCATCCTCCTGCCAAGTATGACAACATAACATGCAGGAGCCTGCGGCACCGTGTAGGAAAAAAAAAAGTAACATTTTCAAGCAGAAAATTCCTGTGAAAGACCGACTCATTCACTCAGCTGCTGGAAACTTCTGGAAAGCACTGCTAATGATGTCCTTTCCCCAGAAACCACCTTCTGCCTGGCTCAGGGTATGTGCAGAAGGAGCTGGGCAAAATTACTGTGCTGTGTTCTTTCAGTGTTTCCCTTGTATCAAGATTTAAGATTACACGAACCTCAGCCTGTTTAAGAAGAGCAGAGGAATTTCAGTGAATCAGTAGATTTTCCTCTTCAGTGCTGTAGGTATGCACTAATGTTCAGAGCTCCAAATCACTGCAAACAATTCTGCTGCTTGTTTTGTTATCAATGTTTAGATCTGACTTAACCACCACTTCAGAATATTTCTGAGCTCTTGAGAATATTTTGCTCAGTTCCTGAAGAGTAAAGCCAACAGTCCCCATTAAGGAAGCACAACAGATGTCCAGAGGACACAGTGAAGAGCAGTTCATGGAATCAGTTCAATTGCTGCTGGAATTCTGCTGTCTCCACCAGTTGCTCTGCTGCAATGACCTCCAAACTCTGCTAAGGGCATTAAAAACACCAGAGCCAACTCTACTCAAAAGATATTTAACATGAAGGGAAACAGGTTTGAACGGAATGAAAAGCAGAGCATCAGCAAATTGCAGCAAAGCACAAAATCTGCCTGTGTTTCCAGAATAATGAATGTATTCTGACTACATCAGCTGTGTGTATCCCTGCAGTAGCCAGCCATATCCAATATATTTAATGTATACAGCCATATTTTGTCTTCAGCAACAGACTCATGCTGTAATCTCTGCCTTAAAACCCTAGTATTTGCTAACAAAACAGATTATCTCTAAACAGTTGTGATGGAGCTCCTCTTGTTTTTTGTTTTTCTGGTACTGGTAATTTTGCCTATGTGTACATGGATTCTTATATGTCTTCTCGCTCTTTCTGTCCCTATTTTGGCACCTAACACTGAAGACCCATTGATTTTTCTGCCCCTACAGAGGTGGAAGGAAAGGCCTGGAGGTTGCAGTACTCATTATCGTCAAAGGAAGAATTCCTTGTTAATAGGACTTTCTAGAAAGTAGCTCACTTGTTTATGGACAGCTCAAAGGACAAGCAGAAAGAACACAGAGCTGTCTGGTTGTGCATGTAGACATATCATAGCATTTTGCAGGTGATGGTGCAAATGCTACTTTAACTTTGCAAGCAGTTTGGAATGAGAAGTATGCTGTGCAATCAGGCTTTTATATTATGATGAGCAGGTACAGAAAACAGTGTGATTTCGCAATGAGAAAATGGTGGGCACAAGCTTTCTGAGCCAGAAGTGAAAACAAAAAGCATTCCTATGTGTGTAATCTGGAATGACACCCATCAGTTTAACTCCAACAGGGAAATACGATGGTCTCTTGGGGGTCTGGAACTGTCTTGTAATAACCCACCCCTCCCTTAGTCGTGGTGATTTGCTTTCCTTTGTGACACATAGATGCAGTTTTATCAAGCACTGACACTCAGTGACAGAGTGGAGATGTTCATTTGGCAATTCCTGCCTCAAAACCAGTGTAGTCATCACCATAAGCTAACTCAAAACCATCGTAGTGAGGAGAGAGGTCAGTGGTCCAGATGAGCTCCTGCTGTTAGCAAGCACATCAAAAGCACGAGGCCCAGTGCAGAAGACTGCTTTCCTTTCCTGCCCTTAGAGGCTCATGGTCCATGGTCTGTTGTCCATGTTGGACCTATGTGGATTTGTGGGATTTATTTTCAGCTGCTTGTGAGGCAGGCTGCTGTCGTTAAGTACAAGAGCTGCTTTCTGAAGGAATCTACAAGGCAAATATCTTTTGTCTCCCTTGTTCTGGTAACAAAGGCAACATAAATTACTGGGAAGGCTGAAATGAAAATCAAGAATGAAAATAATTAAACCCCTCTTCTACCAACCATGCTGGGCCTGGCTTTCTGCTCTAACATTATACAGTTAGAGCCAGCAGGAGCAGAGCTGTCTGCAAGGAGAACTCTCAGGGTTATCTTAAATAGTTCTAATGTAGATAATGTTTCTCATTCTTTCTTCCATGTGCCAGCAAATGGCTCTGTGTGTCTGTCCTGTCAGCTCAGTGCAGTAAGCCACACTCTGAAGCCCCGTGCATCTTGTCAAGCCAAAATTAGCAGTCGAAACAAACCTTGCAAAGCATAGGGTATAAGCTGATCACAAAAAGAGAAATATGTTCTTGTGGTGTGATTTTCTTGGTTGGGGAGCTGTTTGGATTTGCAGACCCAAAACTTAATGGTGGTGGGATGAATATAGCAGGGAAAAATTCTTGTACGTACTTTCTTTACATCTTTTTAATGAGTGGATGAAGCAACCCTGAAAGAGCCAAATATTAGCACAGATTGGAGATAGGAATCCTGAGGGCAGGTGCCTAGCAGGATTCCCCACACAGTTCTGCCAAGACTCTTCAGTCCTGACCTGAAATGGCCCTTTCCTGGCACAGAGGCATAACTCTGCCTGTACTTTGTGCTCACTTTCAGCAGCCTTTGGCATCCTTTCATCAGCTCAGGAGCGCCCTGTCAAAAGTCCTTGCTCCTACTTGGCAGGATGGTGCACCCACCAAGCCACCGAGCTCTGATGAAGCCTCAATCCTTCATCTTCTGATAGATACAGGATAAGAACTCCTCCTGTAACCTCCTTTGCTATTACATATCTATATGAGCATGGACAGCTTCTCCTTATCCAGGATGGCTGAAGACAGTACTCATAGGAAAAAGGAAGATGGGTTAAATCACTCAGGACTGACTGAAGCCAGCTATGATTTCTGGTCTCCCAGGATGAAAGTTGCTCACATGACCACCTTGGAGAACACTTTAGTGGGAGGATTTTGCAAACACTTGGCATTGACTCCACTCTGCTCCTCTTAAGTCTGTGGGATCACAGCCCTTGTAGGAGCAGAGCCTTACTTTTATGAAGTGTTTCAATATTTTTGACTGATGAATTTGCACATTATATATGTGAAGCCATATGTGACTCTGTCGGAACTGCTCCAGTTCCCTATCCCTTGCAATGTGTTGTGCTGCTTTTAGCACACAGAAACATACGCCTCCTATCACTCATATTGACATGCTGTCGGTTTGATTGGACCCTTTCTCGACCGCTGGAGTCTGGAGCATTGCTGCTCAAGACAACGGGTTACTCTGATTTTTATCTGAGTTGACTTTTTCTTAAAACGATTAATACATCCAAACAGCACCACATTGGTGCGAAAACAGGGTTGTATTTCTCATCAGAATATCAGAGATCCCTTTTTCATTCAGTACGGAGATCTTTCAGACCTGCCTGCTGTCAGTGTTCAGCTCAGCCATTCCAACAGCTTCTTACTATAGACAGAAAACCCAGGGTCTGGTCTCTAAAATGTATATGAGGGGCTTTTAACACATCCACAGGAGGTTGAGGCAAGGAGTCCTGCATGAAGCCAGAGCAAAACAAAAATCCACACCCAAAGCTGTGTGCTCAGCACCCTACTTACAGCAGTAAGCTTGGCTTTGCATCCAGCTGACAAAACAGGTCAGCAGTTCAGATACCACAGTAAGGTGCAGTAGAAGCGAAAGATGACAGAGCAGAAAGCTACTTGGAAAGCTATTTATGTCCATTAATAGTCTTCTTTCCTCTCTCCCCTACCCCCTATCATGAATAATGATACAAGGAATAATAATGTGCTCTGTGATTGCCAGCAGCAAACATTACCAAGTTTGCTCTGTTGTGCAGTGTCCAAAGGAAAAATGCAAAGCAATTCAAAAGCAGGAGGGAGCCTAAGTTCAACTTGTTGAGCAGAGTTTGATATCTTTGATTCTCTTTAATATTTATCTAGGTTGGAAAGCAGAAATTCCATGCAACAAGTACAAAATACATATATTCAAAATGTCACTCAGTACATAGAATCACACGTTTTCCCCCATCCAATTTAGTGGCACTTGATGCTTTACAGTTCTTAACAAATCACTGTGCCTCAGTCAGAGTCACACCTCATTTCTCCTTCCCTGTAAATATATTATGATCACATAATGTTTTAATAACTTCACAGGAAAATTGAAAATAAGGCAAAGATAGCAACTTATGGAGATAAATTTCAACAGCTTTTTTTTTTTTTTTTTTTTTAATGCAGTCATTAAATGCTTTGAATTGAGCAAAAGGTAGGCTCACAGTTTTGTTTAGCAGCAAATTGGAAATACAATGAAGCCTATAGCTATGGGAAAATAAAACTGACTTTGTCGACTAATTTTCCTTCCATTAAGCTCCACAATTCAACAGGCAATGATACGTTTTTAAGAGGATCAGTAGATATCTTGATGAATTCCCAGCCTGACCATTGAGGGTGATTTCATCACATCTCTTTCATTCACAACTACTTTAAGCAAATACGCTCTTTACTATGCTTGATGGGGAAGGAATGCACATATGCAAGGATGCTAGGATGAAATAAAGCTGCTTCTGTAGATCAGTTTCCTAATGTGATTCTGCTTTTGTCTTAAAATCAGGGTCCACATTTTTAAGTGGGCTTATTATGAACCTTCTGAAGATAGGGCTGAAAGGGCTGGAACTTAGCCCTGGCCTTTTGGAAATAATGGTGGATCCGATATCAGGTGTGAAAACAAAGTGTTAACTTCACAGTTAGAGCAGCCCAAAGAAAATGCACTTCAGTTGGCACCCTTAACTTCTCTAACTCACGTTGGTTCATCTCCCACAACAATCACTCATCCTATAAGGTGGGCTCCAAAGTGATTTTGGAGCAGTTCAAAAGGAAGCAGGTGGCAGCTTTGGAATGAGAAGCATTTCTAGAGCAGTGTGAAAGTCCGTAGCACAAGAGAAACAGAAGCTGTTAATGTGGTGGAGATGCTCAGTGTGTGGTAGTACAGAAGATGCTCTGCTGGTGGCTAGAAATTGTGTGCTGACTTTTTTCATGGGAAGAAATACTAGTAATCTTAATAAAATAAACATACTCTGAGAGCCAGAGCCGCATCTCAAAGCGCTAATTCTTTCTAAGACTGATTTATCATCTGCTGAGTTAATAGATTAACAAAACAAAGCACAAAACACAACAGTGGATGTGATATGCTGGAAAGTCACCAACCTGATCAAGATTTACATGCAGTGATGAGAGAGGAAAAAGCCATCACTTTCCAATTCAACTCATTTGAATTTGTGCCAGGCGCAACAAGAGAATTGTGAAGATCTGGTGAATTCTTAATCCACATGAGTACGTGGGTACAACAGTTACTGTGAGAAACACAACACATTCAGGGGTGCTACACTGAATACAGTTCAGTGTACAAACAGAGAGAAAAATAACAATTGTGGAAGCTGGGTAGTAGAAAGCCACGGATAATGAGAAAGCCTTTGTGGTTTTGTGCATGTCTGCATGAGTGCTGGATGAGCACTTGCAGGGGGTGTTATGAAAACAAGCTCCATCTGACAATCTTTTTATTACTCCCATTGAAGTATGAAATAAGGCTTGGACCTGAGCAAAGAGATCAACTTTCCTTCAACAGCTCTAGGAGGCAACGTCAGAAACACGTGGGAGTGGAGAACTGGTTTGGGATAGTGCAAGCAAAATATCTGTGTCCCATATCTACCTCTCTGTTTTCACAGTGGATGTTCAAAATGCCTCCTTCATTCCTTTTATTTTCCTCTTTCTTACCCTTTAGGGTGGAAACTTCACAGAAGTAGTGATGGCCACTTGTTTAAAAAAAAAAAAGATCTCTGAAGTTTTTTGAGGTGCTAACAATCCAAGTCTGAGCAGCTATGTGGCAGTCTCATTCTAGTTCAGTAGGAACAATTTATCTCTCACTAATTTCTAATCAACTTTGAGGAAATTTGGGTTACGTTTAGAAGGAAATATGGGTCAGGAGACACTTGAAGAAGCTCTACAGCTAGGAGAAGGCAGGCTGGATAGGAATGCATTGAGAAAAGCTTCTTCCACTTGCATGGCATCCTCAAAACTGCTTCTTCTCCTTAGCCTGATTCTGAAGCATCACACTGCCTACCAGCCAAAGAAGGCAGAATCTCTATCCCAGCTGGGAGAACCAGCATCTGTATCAACTGACTGTTGTGATCACTGAAGCCCTAGACTTCCCATCAGTGTTCAGGTAGCCCAACTTTTCCTGGAGCACTGCTGAGGGCTTAGTGTAGCACCCAGTCCAGCAGCTGAACTTCCTAACACAGTGAGCAAGAGGGAGATGATCTATGATCTAATGACCTATGAAATATCTACCTTGTTCAGGTATTTAAAGAAACTCTTCCTCAGGCTAACATGGAGGAACCATTGCTGATAGGTCAATGGTGCTGTCTCTGTTTCCCATTCACTCTTAGCTGACTTGAAGCACGCACTGGCATTTCTCAGTGAGATGGATATGGTGTCTTTAAGGTCAGAAGCGTCTTGTAGGTTGTGAGGCCACGTAAGCCATCCTAAAAGCAAAATGTGATGTTTTATACTTAGCTGTAATCAATAGGTATTCAGCATGGAAAAGGAGATGAGCATCTGGAACGTGTACGTTTATAACAGGCCAACATCATCTTCCTAAGCCTGTAGCACTGGAATTATGGCTTGCTAGTTATTCATCTGAAGATTCAGAAAAGAATCCCTTATTAATCAATAGCTGATCCATTTAAGCAAATCATGTCCGAATTTAGGAGCTGTGCTAGCACTGGGAGGCTCAGCAGGGCTTACAGCAGCAGTTTTTCAGCACAGAGAGCCACCAACGTGAGCTTGATTTACCGAGCCTGTAGGAGGAGAAGGGTGAAATCAGACTCTGGTACAAATCATGTTACTGTTGTAAGTTTAGTTTGCCAGACACAAAGATCCTTCCAGCCAGGTAGCCTATTGCTATGAGCTAACATATGTCAGACTGCCACAGACCCCCAATTTAAAGTTTCCATTGGGCTCAGTGGGAATTAATTGTTAGGTCTGGCTTCTTCTGTTTTCTTGTTAACGTCAAACACCCATCCGGTGTGAGCTGCAAATAATACCCTCCTAAGGGTAAATTGTGAGCTCATTGCTCGTTTAAGTCACATTGAGTGAGAATACTCCCTAGCTGTGCTCTGTGAATCAAAGACAGAGCATATGCAATCATCTGAAGCAGCAGCAGCAGCAGCTGCATTTCCCAGAAAGCTTTGGGAAACCTGACACAATTACCAATCAATACCCTCTCCAGTTAATTGATGGGCCATGGAGCCAAAAGGGGAAAAAAAGAAAAGAAAAAAGAGAGGCTATCAATAAATAATCTTAGTTAGGAAACTGATGTTGAGGAGAGGTACCTGAAATTTAAGGGAGATGCCCACGCCCAGGAAGACAAATGAGGATTGAGGATAGGAGCAGAATTCTCATATAGATGTGTCTTTTGAAGATAATGGGCATGGCAGAAAGAGAGTAAGATGCAACGATGAACCTTGGAGAGTCTGAAACCATTGGGTCCAAAGGGAAACATCTGCAGACTGTTGCTGAATTGCTACCCAAAACTCTCATCCTGATCCTCTCCTTCTTCCCAGTCTGGGAAGACTTCCTCAGTCCCTACCCATCCTGAGCCAGATATTCTTTCACTTATTCCTGGTTAAAAATCTTTTCTGATTACAAAGGGATGGCTCTGAACTGAACCCATTTTGGGAACCTAACTAGCTCAATCTGCCTGACCCACAGCAGGGACAGAGCCTGCAGCTTGGCAGGACCAAGCACAGCAGTGGGGACAGTCCCAGAAAGACATTATAAGGAGCAATGTTCATCAGCAAAAATTCAGAGGTGATGGTGAAGGAAGGATGGGAAAGGCAGCAGTCTGAGCTTTCAGAGGGGAATGAAACTGGTTTTGTGCTTTAGCGAGTGTGTGTGTGAAGCTGGAGAGAAGGCCTTTCACTTTTATGAACTGAAAATTCATGAACATAGATAAAAATAAAAATGAAGTACATTTCTAAAAGAGTCCTTTGATTCCTATGAGATGCTCAGATTCTCTTGAGGACCTCTCAATGAACTTCTGTGAAAGTTAGGTACAGTTGAGAGAAAACTACATCTGTAAACTGAAGCGCAGTGCTGCCCAAATTGTTGGGCACTGTTGTAACTGATCTGCCTTCTTGCAGATACATTATTTTTCTTCATTAAAACAGTTCTGCACTCCTTTCACCAAGCCCAATTAATAAGCTCGGTGAAAAACTTGGAGTAGGCTGGAGAACGCAGCATGCACATTTGACCTCA